TTTCCCACAGACGGCGCCAAATTGTGTGGGTGAAAATCTGACCACACTGCTTACTTAGTGATCAATTGGTGAGCACAGGCAGAATAGATGGCTTCAGCAACCTGAAACAGAAAGAAAAGGCTCCGGCGGTGGTTCTTCCACCCGGGGGCACTCCGACGATCAAGTCAGTATATCTCTCAAAGATAATCAAGTGCAAAAACTTAATACTCAGAATATGAATTGCATACCTTAGACCCACGGGGGTGCCTCTCTTTTATAATATACTCAATCCAAGTCCTACTAGAAGTATGACTTCTATGAACTCCAATTTAGTGCTTACTTTGGACTCTTTAAGATATAAAGATAAACTCCCTAAGAGCTTTATCCAATTTAGTCCTTTATTCGCTTTATCTCGGATTCCGATATCTTCGGAGATAACCTCGTCCTTGTCGAGATCACCTCGGCGTTACAACCAGGACACGTGGCACCTCGGCTGACACGTCGGCGTCACCTTGCCACGTGTTGGTACTCAGAAAATATATCCCCACAATTTGTATATATAATAATTCAAATAGTGAATATAATCTACTATTCTAAAATATTTAAACATCATTCAAAAGTTAATAATTTATATGTTTATTTGATATTTTATGTATACAATTTGAATTTCAGGTTATTTGAGTTGTTTAGTATCGAGGGGTCAAGGCATCAAGCCATCTTCTATTTATAACGGCTATCCTAAGTGTCCTCTCGTAACTTGGTTTAAATTTGATAAATTTCTAATTTTTTTTATAATTCCGCACCAAATAAAAAAAAAAAAAAGGTATGTTATTTAAATCTTAAAAAATTTCAAGTTTAATTTGTTCAGATTAAATCCGCACAAATTTCACCCTATGTTTCATGTCAAAACAAAGCAAGGAAACATCCAAAGATCCATTGCTTGCGTGGTTGTTTAATTTGTATGCCTATTAGGGCTGAATAAAGAATTCGTGAAATTCGTAAATCGATCCGATCCAGTCCAGTCCAATCCAATAGGTTTGGATTGATTTTTTGAATCCGTGGTTCGGTTCCGGATTGAAAAATTAAAAATCCGTAGTACACGGATTGGTTCCGGATTAGAACCGATTCGGACCGTATACAAATAGTATATATTTTTATTATACATCTTCCCCCATAGTATCTTCTCTTATTTTATATAAAATCTAAACTTAAACCTAAAACCGTATAATATCTTCTTTTATTACTTTTGTTTGTTAGTTTTTAGTTTTAATTTGTAATCGTCTAAATACTTATGGTAAAACCAGTTTTCTTATGATTGTTTAAATTCTAGAACAGTATGTCGCTATTATAGAAATAAATGTTGCTAGTGTGGAACTAATATAGCGCTGTGTTTATATTTTTATGAAATTAAAGTGTTATATATATATTTTTATTATTTAATTATGTGAATCCGTGGTCCTAAACCGATTCAATCCGTATTTAAATGGATTGGTTCGGATTGGTTCCATGATTTAAACGGTTTGTTTTGGTTCCAATTTTTCAGGAACCATAGATAACAGATTGGTCTTGCTTTTATCCGAATCCGGTTCAAATCGAACCATGCTCACCCCTAATGCATATTAATGCATGTGCCTAAAGATTCCTAATGCTCAGAAATAAAGTCTAGCAATACATAAATTAAAATCAAGAATAAGAATAAGAATAAGTTTTTTGTAGCATATTTTTTAAATTTTGTTTGACTAGTATAAGTTGGCTTATAAATCCATATTGTTAAAAAAAATAAAAATTAAATCATTTAATATGTTTATTTTAATAATAAAAAAATCAACTTTAGCCTTTTAAAAAAGTCATTAAAAAGATTTTAAAAACTAACTAACCGTAACAGAACTCATAAATTAAACACAAAATTTGAAATAAAAATATATATGAATGTATGTAAGTAGACATAATTTTTCAAAAGTAGGCTCTATCAACAAATTCAGCAAAACTTTGGGGGTGTTTGTTTATATATCTATATTTGTTACATATCTGATTTTGTGTTTGATATTTATATTAAAAAATACTTAAAATTCATAAAATATCACTGTTGAATTTACTTATAATAACGTGATTTAGTGGATTATTGTAGGTCAATTATTAATTTGTTTAGGAATTAACTGCACTAACAATAAGTAAATTTAGGGTTTATTTTTAAGGGTTGGAAAATGATTTATGAAAAAAATTTTGTACAGACAATTTGACCAAAATGATGTGTGGAATAACAAATTAAAAGAGAAAATTACAACAACAACAAAAAAATATATTAGAGTTTGACCCTTGTAATGAAATAAAATTTGAGTTTTTAATTTTGTGAGTTTAAATCTTAATTTTTTAATTTGTATTAAATCTAAATAATTCGCCTATTTCCATTAAGTAAAATCGACGAAAAAAGTAATATTTGAGTCATTAAATTCAATGTAAATGTACATAAAATGTTTAAAATATCATTTCTATTGATTTTAATAACTAAAATATATTTTTTCTTGTCTATTTTACTTAACGAAAATAAACGGATAATTTAGATTGAAAATAAATCAAAAAATTAAAGTTTAAATTGACATAATTAAAATTTTATTTTGTTATAAGCATTAAACCCTATTTTTTTATCTATAATTTTCTCAATTTAAAATAATAAGTCATTTTTATAAATATTTTAATTTGAAATGTGAAATGGATAAAATAATTTCACTTTCTAAACATCTCATACGGTAAGGTCCATATATGAATCAAAATACACTTTACAATACAAATACAAAATAGAAGATTATTACGCCTGTTTGGGAAAGATTATTTTAATTTATTTTTTAATTTGCAGTTATTATAATCTGGTTAAAAAAGTTGTATTTATAATAATAATTATTTTTTATTGTTGATTTGATGATTATGAGAGAAAAAATGAAATAATTATAATTTGAATGTGATATTTTGTCTTATTAATTATTTTAATTTATTTTTTATTAACTATGTTAATCTAAATCCAACTTTCCAAACAAGCCTTACAGAAAGGTACATAACATTGTCTCTCAAAGAATGTTTGAGATAATCTAAATAAATATATTTTTTTAAATTTTACAAAAAAATGTGTAAAAATAAAAAGATAAAACTTAAAAAAAAAAAACACACACACATTTATAAAAAAGATACCAAATAATACCGCAGTCTATTTTTATTTTGTAATATCTCACCAACCCAATCTTGTAAAGTCTAGAGAGAGAAAGAGAGGGCCGGCCATAAGAAAACCAAAAAATTGTATGATATGATTAATCATTCAAAAAGCATGATTGATCAAATCATACATGGTATATGTCACAGCCTCCAAACTCCCACTCTCTCCTCAAAACTCTAGAGAGAGAAAATCCTAAAGAGAGAAGGAAAGGGCGGCGGCGCTGAGGTTGAGGAATGGATGTGAGGAAAATCGTAGTGGTAGTAGAAGACGTAGAAGCGGCGAGAACAGCACTCCAATGGGCACTCCACAACCTCATTCGCCATGACGATGTAATCACTCTCCTCCATGTATTCCCTACAACGAGATCTCGAAACAGGAACAAGCTCAGACTCCATAGATTGAAAGGCTTTCAATTAGCTCTCTCTTTCAAAGACATTTGCAACAATTTCCCCAACGTATGTACATTTTTTTTAATCTTCTTCTTCTTCTTCAATGACTTTGTTTTGAATGATTCAAATAAATTCTATTTATATATATATATATATATATATATGAATGTGTTAGGGTTTGTTGCAGGCGAAGATCGAGATTGTAGTGAGAGAAGGTGATTTGGAAGGAGGGACGATTGCGACGGTGGTGAGAGAAATTGGAGCTTCCACGCTTGTTGTTGGGCTTCACGATCAGAGCTTTCTTTACAAGTAAGTTTAATTAATTAGTTAAGGAATTTTAATACAATACAATGTATTGAATATATTAACAATACTAGGATCAATCAATCAATTGGTTAGTGATTAGAGCATTGAATGTGCTTGGATTGATCAAGCAAGCAAGCAAGCTAGGCTTCAATGGTGGTCAACGCCATGTTTATGGGGGGTTTTCTGGTAAATTCACAATTAGGCACCAGCCAGGCAGGCATTTGGTTAACTGCCATTGCTCCTCCACGTGGAATTTTTTATGGCGTGCACTATACTATTATTAAAAATAATGCTATATGTATTAATTAGTGTATTAATTACTGATGTGACATAATTTAAGAGATTTTTAATATTTGTTGTGTGATTAATGAGTGGGGTCAATAATAATATCATAACTAGTATTGGTACACTAGTGTGTATATTAATTGATACATATAGCACCACCGTATATTTAGGCCAAGTTTGGCATATACAAAATAATCCATCTTTTTATTTTTTTATCTTTTTTTCATCACATCACCTCTCTACTTTTCTACACATCTTTTCGTAAAAAAATAAAAAGTACACTTATTTAGGTCATCCTAAACAACCCTTTAATTGTCGTTTAGTAAAATTTTTCTTTTAGTTTTTTTTGGAGTTGAAACTTTTTAAATTTAGGATTAAATTTTTTTAGTTTTATTTATTTATTTTTGTTATAAAAAAATTGAAATAATTATAGTTTAAATATGATATTTTATTTTATTAATTATTTTTTACCTATTTTGTCTATTAGTGACTAATTTAGACATAACTCAACCCAACTCACATGGTGGTGTTTGGGAAGAAATTTTGATATAATTTTTTTTTAAAAAATTCACTGTAAGATTAAAAAAATTATAAAAAAAAAAAAAGAAGCCTAACTAAAAAAAGCCAATTTTTAAAAGAACAAATTCATCTGTTGATTTGTAATAAATAAAACAATATAAAAAGCGAAATGATTTGGTCCGATTTATTAGTGGTGTTGATTTTACTTATCAAAAATATTGTCCTATTTATCACTGAATTGATGGGTAAAATTTTATAGAGTAAAATCATTTTTTTTTTATTTGTACCAAAATCATTGTTGGTAGAATTAAATTATATAAAAATTTTAAGATATTGGATATAGTGAAATAGTGGGACACATTAGAAATATCGTTACGCATTTGCAATTTCATTAAATTTGAGCCTTGTTATGTTGACATATATTTTATAATTTTTTATTTAATTTTGTGTAGGTATTTTTCTTTTTTTCTGTTTTTTCAGTTAAATGTTAGCTAGAGTGGTTAAGTAGTAAGTTTTGTATAGTTGGGATGATTAATGTTTTATATTTTTAATCTATTGGAAAAACTAAAATAGATTAATTAATTTGAAGACATGTTTGGACAATCACTTCCCTTGAACATGCTTCCCTTAGTATATATAATGAAATGTTGGTCATTAGACATGCACAATGACAAGGCACGTGGCATGTTTGTAATGGCAGAAGAGTTGGATAACCAGACTGTCTGGTGATTTGACCTTGAATAAAGGCACTATAAAAATTTCTAAGAGAAAAGCTACAACATGCCAAAAGAACACAGACTAAATTTTTAAAAATTGATTAACATTGTTGGACCACATACATATGATATCAAAATGGCTGTGGAGATGTGGCCATGCAAGCTCCAAGTTGAAGATTGGTAATAAGCCACATCAATTTATAAATAAAATTTGTAAATTATGTTTGTTTTTTATACATTTATTGTTCAAATCACTAGTTAAATCGAGGATTAATTATACTTTTCATCTCTGTAGAATGTTTCAATTTGAACACTGCTAATTTTATATCTTAAGTTCAATTCAGTTCATTTCGTCCAATTTAGACATTACAACTCTTGACATGAGGAGTACATGTGAAACTTTTGATGGTAATTTGAACGGAAAGACGAAAATGAAATAGGAATTTGAAATCTAGAGTTGACATTGTTCAAAATTGAAATCAAATAAAATGTATGTGAAATTATAAAGATGAAAAATGTAATTTATCCAAAGTCAAAAAGCATTCAGTGGACAATTATTTATGAGGGAGGGTCCATGCCTAATATATATTCATATGGGCATTCATTTGACAATTTGGCCTTTAGCCTTACACACAGAATTTAGTGCAGTGACCCTAGAGAACTTTTCACTATTATTGCCAGAATGATACAAAATAGGAACTAGGAGTAATAATTGGCAGTGGAACTCAAAACACTTCCCTTTTTTGTTCTTTTTTCTTTTTTTGTGTGTGTGTGTGTGTGTGTGTGGTGTTGGATCATAGGTTGGCCATGGCCCACAACAATATTGCTAGCAAATTTAATTGCAAAGTTCTTGCCATCAAGCATCCAACAACACCATTGACAACAAGGGATGCTAATATTAGAGTACCAGAAGACAGTTCAACCAACATGGACTTCTCTCAGGTTGAAATTGCTGCTGAGTTAAGGTGAGATTTTCTTTTGAATTTTCCATCCACTTCTACATATTTACCTGCTCCCTTTACTTTTCCATAGTTAACGTGTCTTTTCCTCCCTATATGAATTTTTTTTTTGACCTGGAAAAACCTCCCTATAAGTTCGGGTGCTTTTAAATATACCCGTTAAATTTCTCTCCACACCTAACTTTGTGGGAATACCATCCTCAATTTGCGTGAAAAGAGGTGGTTGTGGAGAGAAGTTTTGACTCTGTTTTTCCCGGTGATCACATGCGAAATGACCAAGATGTCCTCATCAGATGAATATCGTATACATATATGATATACCATTATGTTCATATTGTTTATGTTTGATATCAACCAAAGTTAACAATGCATTATTAATCTATGTTTATGACTTCCATTGTTAGGTTATTTCGTGCCACTTGGTAAAAGTCTTTTATCTTATTGACAATGAAACAAAGGCCAACTATATTTATATATCTTTGTATGTGTTACTAATTTACACAATTGCTCTTTTGTCTTTAGCTTTGAAAGTACCTAATCTTTAGAATTACATGCTCAATAATGAAGATTACCACAATATGGATATCTGCATACCCCCATATAACCATTAGATGAATGCACATTTCATATTCCATCGAGCTTTACTTTGAATAATAGATTTTAGCCTTAAAAAAAAGAATAAAAAACATGGGCACAGAATCCTTTGTCCCCAAACATGTGCCTGCCTCTTGTCCCATGCATTTATTGCCATACGATCTGATTTTTTCATTAGATCATGTGATTGAGAGTGATAGAATAGACGGATAGACATTTTTTTATTCGAATTTGTATATTGTAGACTTCTAACTATCCAATTCCACAAATGATATATTGCAGCATCCCGGATGTACCACCACAGAAAATCCCATACCAAATATGTCCAAACCCTTCTGCAATTATATGGAGATCAAGGAAGACTAGAAGAAAGAGGAATCATTGAAAGCAGACTATAGTTTTCATCTTCGAATGAGCAAAATTCAGGTTACACTAGATCTTTGTAGCCTAGGGCTTGGATGTTTGAGCTGGGCATTAGTTTTTAGTTTTTCTCACACGACATGCACACGAAAAAAGTGCCATTGACACAATATAGAGCTGTTCATAATCACAAGTTTCTGGTTTGGTTTGTAAAGATAGATGCAGTGATCATATATCATTGTATTTGTTCACAAAGAGCAAGGGGTATATATGTCAGGCACATGTATACCCTTGGAACATTCATTCTTTGAAAAAAAAAAGAAAAAAAATGGTTGAGGAAAAAAAGTACTACTAAAAAACAGCCATTCATTAATTCGCAAATGATAGAACTGAACCTCTCCCACAATGCCAATTGATGGATTGAAATATTTGACTGGCATTTTATGCTGTTTTAGTAGGCTGTGGCAAATTTATTCACATGAATTATGAATGAACATATATATATGAATGAATTATGAATGAACATACATATATTATGAATTATGAATGAACATCAAATGGGGGCAAAATTCATTTTATCCTGGTTTGAAGTTGGAGAATTTTGCCCCCATTTGAAACTGGGGTATTTTAACCCTTATGGTTAAAATATAGTTAGAAATCTATGTGCTTTTGACTAAAGTTTCGCTGTTAGTTTTCCATTTAAACTAATGAAAGGTGTACCACACACTATCTTTTGGAGTATATTTGGTTTTTTTTAAAAAAAAAAAAAAAAAAAAAGTTAAAATTAACATATCAAAAGACAATTTTACCCCATCTTTTCCAAATGTAAAATTAGATTAAGAAGTTACTTAAAATTAACATAATTAAAATATAATTAAGCATTGATCTAAAATATAAAATAAATAATAATTAAGGATTGATTTAAAATATAATTAAAAGTAAAATCAGATTAAGATGTTCGAAATTACAATAAATAACTAAGGATCAAGGATTAATTGTAATCTAAAATATAATTAAATTAAAATTAGATTAAAAGTTAGGAAAATACAAAAAATAATTATGGATTTTGATTTAATTGAATTAATGTTATAAATTATAAATTATATGTATGAGAGAGAAGAGAAAAAGAAAATAACAAAAAATGCATAGGACTTATTACTTAATGTCATGTTTGTTTAGCTCTTTAGAAAAAGGAATTGGACCAATAGTCTGTGGTAGGGCTGTAACGACCCCATTACGTAAAATGATTAGCACTTGATTAATTAAGGAGATTTGGATTTTAATTGCCAATTATTCTAATTTAATCTGAGATTTATGAAAATTATGGAGACTGATTCGTATGTGATTCTATTGATGATTTATTTAGAATTAGAAATTAAAAGCCTAAATGGCTGTAGACAATACAAGTGGTGAATTGAATTATTTTAATTTCGAGTATCGGATCATATGGGAGTTCAATTGAATATTCGATTCAGATTTATAAATTCAGGTTTGATCAATTGGGTCCGAATTGGAGTTAATTAAGTTATGAGAACTGAGAGTTAAGATACTTAATGTCATGTTTGTTTAGCTCTTTAGAAAAAGGAATTGGACCAATAGTCTGTGGTAGGGCTGTAACGACCCCATTACGTAAAATGATTAGCACTTGATTAATTAAGGAGATTTGGATTTTAATTGCCAATTATTCTAATTTAATCTGAGATTTATGAAAATTATGGAGACTGATTCGTATGTGATTCTATTGATGATTTATTTTGGAATTAGAAATTGAAAGCCTAAATGGCTGCAGACAGTACAAATGGTGAATTGAATTATTTTAATTTCGAGTAACGGACCATATGGGAGTTCAATTAAATATTCGATTCAGATTTATAAATTCAGGTTTGATCAATTGGATCCGAATTGGAGTTAATTAAGTTATGAGGATTAAGAATTAAGATTAATATGAATTAAATTTATTTATGAGGCGCTTAGTTTAATATGTAATTTACAGAACAAAGATTTTGAAGTTTAATCTGAAATTAAAGACCTTAATAATTTGAGGAATCAAAATTGATAATGGAAATTTAATCTGATGTTTAGAGCCTTTTGGGAGTTTGATTAAAAATTTAATTTAGACTGATAAATTTAAATATAATTAATTGAGCTCTAATGGAAGTCAAATTAAATTAATTAAATTATGTGAGATTATGATTAGTTGTAATTAATTTAATTATGTGTTAATTAAGATTTATTAAGACTAAGTGTTATTTAAATTAAGCTAATCTTATTCATGAATTAAATTAAGAAGGAATCTAAAATTGTGAGTGTGTGGGTGTAGAGAGAAACCTGTGTGGGTGTGCTGAGAATTCTAGTTATACAAGTGTGTGTATACACGTGTAATGTGGAGACAAAGGTGTGTGTGCGCTGGTGAGTTTTAGAGTCAATGAAAAAAAAAAAATGGTGAACTCAATATATATGTTGAATAGGAATGTAATGGAAGCAAAAAGGACCAAGAGAGAGAAAGAGGAGGACCAGAGAGACAGCTAGCTGCTGGAAATCCAACTCAAGAGTTTAAGAAGAAGAAGAAATAAGGAAGGCGAAGTTGGAAAAGGTGTGGAATTAAAGGGGAGTTCAAGAATTTATCAAAGATTCATCAAATTCAAGAGTTTAGGTAAGAAATTCAAGCTTAATCCTTATAGATTGATTACTTAACAACCAAAATCAAGAAGTAAATGGGTTTAATTTCATGGAAATAGAAAGAATTAGGAATGACATGGGTGGGCCCATAAAGGACATGGCCCACCATTTAAGGCCCAGTCCATGATTCTCAATATTCTTGAAGCCCAACGTCACACCAAGCACTAATAACATCTAAACACTTGGCAAGTAAAGAGCCAGCCACATCAGCAGACAAAGATCCTGCAGAGTTATTGCACCACACATCAGCCATTAATAAGCTTCCCTGCAGCATTTATTACGATAACCCTTCACGTCGGAACAGAATGGCCTCACCATGGACAAGGCAAGCTAAAACATAGACTTTTGGCCAACGTAACAGCCCGAAGTGGACAAGGAAATGATGAGCAAAAGATATAAGCAGGTTCCTAAGACGAAGAAAAGGTTTAGTTATCTATCTCCATCCTTTTCCTACATCTCCATCACCCTCACCTGTCTAACTTGCTCGTCGGAGGGTTCGATGGAGGACTCCCCGTTCTCCGTTGAACTCTTTTGCAGGTATTCCCTGCAGGTCCAACCCTCGGACAACGGCTTGGGAAGCGTAGATCATTCCGACCCGTTCCATTTGGAGCATCCAATAACGAAAGTATCATCAAGGAAAAGAATGAAGAAATTTTGAGTTAGGTTTAATAATTAAGAAATTGATGTTGTAATTCAATATTTGAGTTTGATCCTTGTCATCCTTCATAAATTTGAAGTCTAACCTTACATGCATTGTGGGTTTCCAAGATTCTAGACGTTAATTCATGATTTAAAGGTTTATGACCTTAAATTAAGTTTGATATGAAGAAAAGGAATAAAAACCTAAATTAGAACAATTCAAGAAATAAAATTATGATTTGAAAATATTGTTTTGATCTTAATTTCATACATGCAAAAGACTATCTAAGAAGTTTATAATTTTAATTTCATGTCTTGAAGGAAGATAGAAAAGGATTTTGAAGTCAATTTTATATAAACAAAAAATAAATTAGCAAGAAAATGAGTTAGGTTCATAATTATGAAAATTAACTTAGAAATTAATTATTTTGAGTTTGATTTTGAATATCTTATATGAATCTGAGCCTTATTTTTACATGCATGTAATTTGGAGAAATTAAGGAATTAATTAATGAACATGGTTAAGGTTAATCAATATGGAAATAATTATAATTCTTCAATTGAGCTAAGGTTTGGAAACCTTGATATATATATGAGATGTAAATCTACATGCATCATAGATTTCTTGGAATTGATTTCATGTTTTGATGAAATAAAAACTAAGCTTTGGGAAAATTATGAATTTATGAACAAATGAGTTCAATGTTTAAATTAAAAGAGTTTTGATGTAAATGATTTAAAATTGATCATATTATCTTGATTATTTAAGAATTGTATGTTTTTAGATAAGCCATGTATGAACCCAAGTCTTGAAATTATTTTGAAAACTCAATTTAAGTTTTAGAATTTGTGAGCTTGGAGTTGGGCTTGATACGAAGAACATGAATTGAGTTAAATTTGTTGAATTTGAAGTTTGTATGTGCATGCATGTAAGGGATTGTCATAAGTTTGCATATTTGATTACAAATATGCATTTTATAATGAATTGAATGTTATTTGGCACACGCAAGCATGATAATGTTGAATTTCATGAAGTGATCATCAATTGTACTATTTAAGTTGAAAATGAAACCTATATTTCACATGCGTGTATATTTCAAAATGATATGAAAATTAATTTGCATGAGCCTTGAGGTTATGAAGTGAGTTTGATATGATTCGAGTTTATAAGATGGATTTCTGTAAATTTGAGATTCAAATCTTGTGAAATTGGCCCTTATATTCATGTTAAAAGTTATATGGTATGAGTCTTATGATATTAATTACAATGGTTGAAATCAAGTTTTGAAGCTCAAACATAATCTAGAAAAATTCAGAATTCAACACGTCCGCTCGAGCGTGGAGAGTCTCACTCAAGCGTACCCTGTTTTACTAGACTCCTCGCTTGAGCGTCAAAAATCTCGCTCAAGCGTAAATTGCAAGCAACCAGTACCTTTCCAGACCAAAGGGGTCCGCTTGAGCGAAGGGCCCTGTTTCAAAAATTTTGAAAAGAAGTTTTATGCTTCCTTTTCCGTTCTCTTTCATTTTAAAACACTCTTAGACATGCATTGAACATTGCAGATGAATTAAAAAACATGAAAGGAGCCTAAGAATGTTAAACAAGTTAAAGAATGAAATGAATTGTAATATGACCCAATGTGTTATGAATTATGTAGGGTCAAATGCAGGGTCGAATCAAGCACCAGAACACTGTGAGTAATGACTCTGTAAAGTTGTGTTTAACTTCAAGTATTTTCTGACTGATATGATACGATCTGTTTTCTGAAATACTATTTTATGAATTATGAATGAATATCCAATTTTCTGAAATGTATTTATGGCACCCTTAGTTCACGTAGCTCTCGCCCAGGGGTAACAATACCGTGGCTAATATGCACGTAGCCCTCGCCCAGGGGTAACAATACTGTGGCTTATATTCACGTGGCCTTTGCCAAGGGGTAACAATACCGAGGCCTATATTCACGTGGCCCTCGCCTGGGGGTAACAATAACATGACTACTTGCGCGCAAGATATGGACCTTTATGGTCGTCGGTACCGACTATACATGTGGGTCTCAGGACCAAGTCGATATGATAGCTAATGGATGTACCACGTATGATCTTATGCAAAATATGAATATAAATATGAACATGTATCTGAATCTATTTCTGATTT